CTTGCACCCCAGTAAATGCAGCAAAACCCAGCCAGGGGGGTCCTCCATTCATCACATGGCCAAGAGGAGAAAAAAGATGGGAGAGAATGGAAAAGGTTTGATATTTACAGATGAAGATGGACCCCACCAGAGCTCAGCCTGCTTGTTGAGGCCTGAGCCAGATGGTGGAACAGAGCACTGCTCTGTCAGATCCGTGTATTTTTGGACACAGAATTCCAGGATGGTTTGGGTTGGAAGGAACCTCAAACACTTCATTCCACCCCCTGCCATGGGCAGGGACACCTTCCACTATCCCAGGGAGCTCCAAGCCCTGTCCAGCCTGGCCTTGGGCACTGCCAGGGATCCAGGGGCAGCCACAGCTGCTCTGGGCACCTGTGCCAGGGCCTCACCACCCTCCCAGGGAAATATTTTTTTCCTAATCTAACCTTCCCACTGGAATGGGATGAAAGCTGCAGTGATTTACACTCACTCTGAGATGACCCTGAGCCCATTTCCATCTGCAAATGCCTCAGAGGTCACCTCCTGCCTCCTGGGCTCCACAAACCCTTGGGAGGATCTGCTGCACCACACTACCTTTGATTAACAGGGTATATCTGGGGCTGCTCCTTACTCCATTAACTGCAAAGCAAAGAGCCACCTGACAGAAAGCTTTTATCCAAATGAATGAACAGGAGAAGGCAGCATCACCTCTGCAGCCTGGGCAGGCACAGGCTGGTGTAAATCACAGCATCAGGCAGGCTGGAAAAGACTTTTAAGCCATTAAGTCCCCGTGTCCCCAAGTGCCACACCCACACAGCTTTTAAATCTCTCCAGGGATGGGAACTCCAGCACTCCTCTGGGAAGCTTTTTGCAATGCTTAACTACTCTTTCCATGAAGAAATTTTCCCAAATATCCAACCTGAACCTCCCCTGGAGCAACCTGAGATGGTTTCCCCTTGTCCTGTCCCTGTCCCATGGGAGCAGAGCCCGACCCCCCGGCTGTCCCCTCCTGGCAGGAGCTGTGCAGAGCCACAAGGTCCCCCTGAGCCTCCTTTGCTCCAGGCTCAGCCCCTTCCCAGCATTTTTGCTCCAAATCCTGGCATTTCTTGGCTTTTTCTGACTTCAAAGCCTCTCAGGCCGTTTGCCACCCTCTGGATTTGGCCAAGGAGGAATGGAGGAGGTGGGAAGGCTGCTGGGCATTGCTGCTGGATCCTGCTGCTGCAGATGGAAAAAGGGTGGTGGGATTCACAAAGGCCAGCACACCAAGCCTTGGGAAGCATTAAGGATTCTCCCTGCTTCTCTTAACACAGCAAATATTTTACTTTCCAAGTGCAAACAGGTCTTGGTCATACAGCAACTCCCTGGATACTTCTCCTGTGGGTACAGGAATTCCCATGGACACAAGAGCAGCACATTCCCAGTCCCAGTCTCCCCTCCAAAGTTCCTCTGGCAGCCAACACAGAGCCCTGGCCATGTGAGCTAAGGAAAAATCCTCTCTTCTCATCCCTGTCCTGGCTCTGGTGTCCCCTGGGCACAAACTGAGGGGCCAGGGGACACCAGAACCCACCCCTGGTTCTCCTCAGATGTCCAAACCAGCTGGAATTAAGTCCTAGTGTGTGATTTATTTTTTTTTTTCTCTTAATAGGAATCACCTGCATCCCTCATTCCATCTGTGCTGGGGCAGGAGGAGCTGAGCCCAGGTGACACCTCATGGGCTCAGGTGTCACCTCTGCCTGCTGAGCCCAAACCGTGTGGGATGGAAATTCCACAGGGATGGAAATTCCCAGGGCTGAGCTCTGCTGCAGCCTGCAGGGATTTGCAATCCAAGGACAGTTTGTGTCATCAGCTTGGGCAACCCCATCCCAGGCAGTTAAATCCCGTGTAAAATTAAAATGGAGAGCATTGTTTTCCTTCCAATAAAGTCAAGATTTGTTTCTGCTTTTCTCCAAAATGACCTGGACATGCTGCCTGACCTCCTCAAGGAGAGAGTGGTCCCAAATCAGAGTCTTGGAATCATTTAGGTTGGAAAAGCACTTTTAAGACCACTGAGTCCTTTGAATAAATCCCTGCTTTATTCTGTAACTCCATCCAGCCCCTGCTCTAGGGCAGCCTTCACAAGGCATCAGTGGGATCCTTCCTAGTCTGTATTTGCACACAAGCATCCATCCATGCATCCATCTATCCATAAAATCACCCCAGCCAGCTGCTGAGCCTGCACTCTCCACACATTTCCAGCAGAAGAGGGGCTTGGATGTGTGAGGAATAAATGATTCAGCTCCATCTTGTGCTGCTGCTTCTGGCATGCCAAGCAGCATCCAGCTCCTCAGGATAAAAACTCAGCTGCAATATCTGTGCAGAACTGGGACAATTCAGATTAAAAACCCAATTCCCTCCGTGTTTCTCTGCATATTCACCCTGCTCCCAACAGCTGAAAGGAAGACAGGGACAGAGAGGATTTGCCACAATCTGTGTCCACCTTAGAAACCCCAGCTCCCTGAATGACAATTGATTGTGCCTCAGCACAGATTATTTCCAGGAGAACCTTCAGGGAGGAAAGGGGAAATTGGGGCAGTTGGAAATTGGGAAAAGTCCTTTGGATTTGGTTCAGGGATTGATTGCCCTGGCTCTGGCAATCACCCACTGGGGTGTGAACGCTGCTGATCTCAGGAGCCACAGCTCACCCAGCACTCTGGGGACAATCACAGCCTCCCTGGACCAGAAGGGAAGAGCATCCCAAAGAATATCCACCCCAAAAGGTGTTGGAATGGTGCAAGAGAATTCAGGAGCTGGCTGAGGGGTGTTAATTAAAAGAGGGTTGATTTAGGTGGGATATTGGGAAGGAATTCTTGGCTCTGAGGGTGAGGAGGGTGCCCAGAGCAGCTGTGGCTGTCCCTGGATCCCTGGCAGTGCCCAAGGCCACGTTGGACAGGGCTTGGAGCCACCTGGGATAGTGGAAGGTGTCCCTGTGAATGCCAGGGGATGGAACAGGATGGGATTTAAATCCCCCTCCAACCCAAACCATTCCATGAGTCCCTCCTGTGAGCTGCAGGCATCATTACACTGCTCATCACAGAGAAAAGATCAGGCCAGAAGGGACAGTCACCCCTTCAGCAAATCTGTCCCACTGCCAAGGGCCTGTGCTCTCACAAAATGACACCACCAGACACTTCTGCAAGAGGATCACCCCTCCAAACCACAGGTGGTTTTGTTCCTAATGCCCAATCCCAACCAGGATCAAGCTTGGAAATTGTTGTGGGTATTGGTTTTGGTGGTGCTGGTTTTTTATTTGTTTTGGGTTTTTTGTTTTTCTGGTTTTTGTGGGTTTTGTTTGTTTGGCTTTGGGTTTTTTTTTGTTTTGTTTTTTTGTGTGTAACAAAAATCAAGGTAAATAACCTCTTCCCCTGATTTTGTTGGATGGCATCTCAAGGAGCAATCTAAGTCCTAGCCCTGAAATCCCTCCTTCAATTACTCCTTAACACCACATTTAACTCCACAGACTCCTCCTCACCCTAAAAAGCAAACTAACACCAGGTAATACCAGTGAACCCCTGCAGAAACACAGATCTCTCAAGGCAAGCGAGGCTTCACTGTCCAAAATCATCATTGGAAATAATGTTACATTATCCTCAATGAAACAGCACTTGGCTAAAGCTCTCCCCTGGGAAAAGGGATTTGGAAGGAAAAGCTAAAGCTCATCTTATTCCAACCCCACTGCCATGGGCAGACATCTCCCAGCAGACACGGCTGCTCCAAGCTGACCTGACAGCCAAGTTTTCCCCCACGTTCAGGTGGAATTCCCTGCATTCCAAACTGCCTGTTGCACACCACAAGTGCCTGGCTCCATCCACTGCTCCTGTGAGCAGCTCCCCAGCCACCCGTGCCACCCTGGCCCTGGGCATCCCACCCCAGCTGGGTGCTCCTGCTGGCTGCCAGCAGCTCTGGGATCAGGGATTGCACCCCATGGATAAGAACAAGGGCACTAAACTGCCCCGGCACATCTCCACAAGAGCTCTGAAATTCCAGAGAGGAGCTGTTCCTGCTCCCAGCAAAAGGGGGTCAGGAAAAGCCCCTTCCAACAAGCACCACCAAACCTTCTCCCCACAGCATAACGTGGTTACCCCCCTTTTTGGGGCACTGTGACAAGTGACAGCTTGTCCCTGCATGCACCCACTGACCCAATTCGGGGTGCAGAGCTCCAGCCCAGAGATCTGCATCCTTCACGGACACAACCTGCCAGAGCATCCCGAAATATTCCTGGAAAGCAATCCAGCAATCCAGTCCCTTCCACCGGGAGGTCACAGCCTCCCCCCCAGCTCCTTGTCACAGGTCCCCCCCTCCCCACCTGCCCCAATTTGTTGGAGTGGGGGCCAATTATGGCGATGTTCATCCAAGGAATGATAACCCATCCCCTTGCGCCCTGTCCGCCCGTGTCCCGCTCACTTCTGCCCCAATTCCCTCGGTCGCTGGTGCGAAGAGGGAGGGCGGGAGGCAGAGGGATGGATGGAGCTGAAGATGATGATGATGATGATGATGATGATGATGATGATGATGATGGCCACATCCCATCGCAAGCGCCGGGACCCTCTCCTCCAGCACGGAGCGAGCGGAGCTGATCAGTATTCAGGGACAGGCTCCCGGCTGCCTGCTGCCACCCCTCCTCCTCCTCCTCCTCCTCCTCCTCCTCCTCCTCCTCCTCCCGGTGACTCCGAGTGCGGCAGGAGGTGGCACCCCGCGGCTCCCCGCTCCCACGGCGGATTTCACGCCTCCCTCCTCCTCCTCCTCCCCAAACCATCGCTCCCTGTTGCTTCCCGGGCTCTCTCCTCGGCAGATGTCCCCGAGCCACCCCCGGGGGAGCCGGGCTGGATTTGGGGGGCATCATCCGCACGATGCCAACATCCCCAGGCCGAGGGGGCGGCGCGGAGCGGGAGGGGATGGCTGAGGATGAGGATGCTCCCACCCCGCAGCTGAGCACGGGGGAAGCTGCGGGACGAGCTGGCTCGGCTGGGGAAGCCGGGGCTCACCTTATGGAGCTTCCACATGGCTCCCAGCGCCTTGACCTCGTGGCTGGAGTGCTTGCCCTCCTCCAGGCACTGGTAGCAGACGGGGCTCTTGCACTGCACGCAGTACATGCTGTGGTTCTCCAGCTCGTGGTCGGTGCAGGTGGAGATCTTGCGGGGGCTGAGCCGGCGGCTGACGCGGCCCTGGGCCGGCGGCACCAGGCGGTGCTTGGCCAGCGGTCCCCGCGGCGGGTGGCACCGCAGGCGGCACGGCTCGCAGTAGAAGACGTCGCACTGCTCGCACATCACGGCCGCCTCTTTGGGCGCCTTCTCGCAGAGCTGACAGCGCAGAGCCGCCGCCCTGCCCTGCTGGTAGCGGTCGATGACGCCCTCGAGCAGGCGGTTGCGGGGAAAGCCGCGCAGGCCGCGCTCGTCCAGCACCAGGCTGCGGTGGCACTGCGGGCACGTCAGGCACGCGTTGCGCGGCGGCGGCGGCGGCGCCAGAGCGGCGGGAGGCGGCGGCGCGGCCGGCGGGAACACGCGAACCCCGTTCGGGGACTTCTGGCACGGCGTGGTGGGAGCGCTGGCGAAGCCCCCGTAGGAGCCGTAGCCGCTGTCCGCCTCGCTGTACAGGCTCATCTTGTCCAGGTCCAGGTAGTCATAGTCGGACACGGCCGAGCCCGAGGCGCGGCGGCTCTGCGGAGACTCCGAGTCCGGTGTCTGCACCAGGATGTTGCGGGCGCACGCCTGGCACAGGTTGTGCGAGCAGGGCAGGATGATGGGCTCCCGGTAAAAGGAGCCGCACACCGGGCATTTCAGCTCCTCTTCCATCTCTTCCATAAGGGAGGGAAGGAGGAGGGCGGCGGCGCGGCTGCGGCGGCCGCGGCGGGAGCCCGAGGAGCGACCCGCACCGCACCGCGCCTCAGCGCCGACTGCCGCCCGCCCGCCGCCCGCCGCCGCGCGCGCCGCCGGGCCCCGCCCCCCCGGCCCCGCCATTGGGCCGCCAGCCGGCGCGGGGGCGCGCTGCGCGCTGCGATTGGCTGATCTGCCTGTCAGTCATCCGGCCGGCCCGCCCGGCGGTGCCGCTGCGGGGACTGAGCGCGGGGCTGCGGCGGCGCTGCGGGGAGAGAGCGGGACAGAACCGGGATAGAACCGGGATAGAGCCGGGATAGAACCGGGATAGAGCCGGGACAGAACCGGGATAGAACCGGGATAGAACCGGGAGAGAACCGGGACAGAACCGGGATAGAGCGGGGAGAGAGCGGGGAGAGAACCGGGATAGAACCGGGATAGAACCGGGACAGAGCGGGGATAGAACCGGCATAGAACCGGGATAGAGCCGGGATAGAACCGGGATAGAGCCGGGATAGAGCCGGGATAGAACCGGGATAGAACCGGGAGAGAACCGGGATAGAACCGGGATAGAACCGGGATAGAGCCGGGATAGAACCGGGATAGAACCGGGATAGAGCCGGGACAGAGCGGGGATAGAGCCGGGACAGAGCGGGGAGAGAGCCGTGACAGAACCGGGATAGAGCCGGGACAGAGCGGGGAGAGAGCGGGGATAGAGCCGGGACAGAGCGGGGAGAGAGCCGGGATAGAGCCGGGATAGAGCCGGGACAGAGCAGGGACAGAGCGGGGACAGAGCGGGGAGAGAACCGGGACAGAGCGGGGAGACAGCGGGGAGAGAACCGGGACAGAGCCGGGACAGAACCGGGACAGAACCGGGACAGAGCCGGGACAGAGCGGGGAGAGAACCGGGACAGAGCGGGGAGACAGCGGGGAGAGAACCGGGACAGAGCCGGGACAGAACCGGGACAGAACCGGGACAGAGCCGGGACAGAGCGGGGAGAGAACCGGGACAGAACCGGGACAGAGCCGGGATAGAGCGAGGAGAGAGCCGGGATAGAACCGGGAGAGAACCGGGACAGAGCCGGGATAGAACCGGGACAGAACCGGGACAGAACCGGGATAGAGCCGGGATAGAACCGGGACAGAACCGGGATAGAGCCGGGATAGAGCCGGGACAGAACCGGGACAGAGCGGAGAGAGAGCGGGGAGAGAACCGGGACAGAACCGGGACAGAGCGGGGACAGAACCGGGACAGAGCGGGGATAGAGCCGGGAGAGAACCGGGATAGAGCCGGGACAGAGCCGGGACAGAACCGGGACAGAGCGGGGACAGAGCGGGGACAGAACCGGGACAGAGCCGGGACAGAGCTGGGACAGAGCCGGGATAGAGCCGGGAGAGAACCGGGATAGAGCGATCCTGAGGGTGTAATTGTAATTCCAGAGCTCGGCGGAGCTGCGGCTCCCCGTGCCCCGCAGCGGAGCGATGCTGCCGCGGTGATCCCCGCGTGGGGAGCGGGACGCGGTCCCTGAGCCTGGGACGCCCCCGTGGGGACACGCTCCGCCACTGGAGAGCGGGGACAAGAGCCCCGAGGGGCTCCCGTGGCTTTGATCTCTGCCCTGCTCGCTCTGAAGGTCGGCTGAGGTCTTAAACTCTCCTGGCAACGAGCGGCACAGCGGGTCCTGCTCAGCCAATGGAAAAATGGGATTGCTTGGAATGTCTCTGGTTTGTCTCCTGTTTCCCTCTCTCTGGGCACACCTTTGGGGCTGCCTGCTGCTGCAGATGCTCTGTGCCCCCTCTGATGGCTTTGGGCTGTGTCCAGCTCTTGGAGAGAGTCCAGAGGAGGCCATGGAGATGCTCCAAGCGCTGGAGCCAGGCTGGGAGAGCTGGGGATGCTCACCTGGAGAGGAGAAGGCTCCAGCAAGAGCTCAGAGCCCCTTGCAGGGCCTGAAGGGGCTCCAGGAGAGCTGGAGAGGGACTGGGGACAAGGGATGGAGGGACAGCACACAGGGAATTGATTGAATCTAAAAGAGAGACGATTTAGAGCAGATATAAAGGAGAAATTCTTCCCTGTGAGGGTGGTGAGGCCCTGCACAGATGCCCAAAGAAGCTGTGGTTGCCCCTGGATCTCTGGAAGTGTTCCAAGCAAGTTTGGATGAGATTTGGAGCTACCTGGGATAGTGGAAAGTGTCCCTGCCCATAGCACCCGTTTCCGTGGTGGGGGATGGCAAAAATACTGGGGGCACCCAGGGCTGTGAGTCCCCAGCTTGAGAGGACACACTGAGGGGCTCCTCCCCTCTCCAGTGGGTCCATGCAGGTCCTGGGATTCAGGGAGCAGGTGCAATTCCAAGCTCCCACACTGATATTCAGGCAGGGGGGAAGCCCAAAAGCCCAGATGCCCAAGGAAGGCACCACCATTCCTCAGCCTGACAAGTGATAAGGAGAAAAGGATTTTCTGGGCGTTTCCCTTTTCCCCTCTAGTGTGCTTTGTTCTTCCCTTTCTGCTTCCTCAGGCTCCTGCTGGCTCCGTATTGACCGTGGCTTCCCCCAGACTCTGCTGAACATTCCTCATTTGCTCCCTGTTGGTGTCTCTGCTCAGAGCTGCTCATTTTTTTCCCCCGTTCTCCTTCCTCGAGCTGCCCTTTTTCCAAAATAAAACCATCATTCCTTGTTTGCCTCTTGTTTCCTGTGGGCACTTTTCATCCTGGCAGGTCTGGGGTTGCCGTTTCTGCTGGAGTGATCCCGCTGATCATGGAAATGGGCAGAAAGAGGAGCACAGCCAGTGCCTTTGGAAGCACCTTTGGTCATAAACACTGAGCTGTTTTCTTGGCACTGCAGCTGGAGCCCTCAGTGAGTGCTGCTCACACTCTGGCTGTGCTTTATTTACGACTGCCACACTTATCACTGCCCCGAGAACTGCACAACTCTGGACCTGCAATAATTACTTAACCCAGCTTCAGCATTCACTTGTCTGACGTGGCTGTGATCAGTTAAAAGGTGGAGAAATTCTCTTGTTCTCAGCTGCCTCCTGCTTTTCTCGTGTGGCTCTCGCCGGGAGCTTCACCTTCACACAGTCATGGAATCTGTGAGGTTGGAAAAGATCTTTGGGATCATCGAGTCCAACCTTGGTCCTCACCTTGTCCCCAGCCCAGAGCACTTTGCCACCTCCAGTCACTCCAAACCACCCTGGGAAGTTCCTTGTAATGCTTGACCACCCTTTCCATGATGAAAATTTTCCTGGATTTTCCTGCTTCAGAAGCAGCTCCATCCCCTGCTGTTGGTGCATCTCCTGTTGGAACCAGCCTCTGTCCTGGAGAGTGTGGAAGCCACCGCTGGGCTGAGATAAATGAAAGTCATTTAGACTCTGTAAGTGCTGTTGGGTCCTCTTGGTGAATTGTAATAAATATCTGAGCTGAGCTAGAGCTCATAAATAAAAGAGAGAAATGAACCAAGACAACAACTCTGCAGTGTCTTTATTCATCCCATGCCCAGAACACCTTGAGGAGATAAATCAGAGAGTGGACAAGGGCTCAGAGCTCCTCAGAGAAAAGGAACAGAACCTTTCCAGAGGTGCTGCCACGCTGCTGGAGAGGCCTCAGGTGTCTGATGCAACTAGATATTCCACTGGGAAGCCTTTTTCAGGCTCTGGGAATGTGTTTCCTCTTGTGCCTGGAGGTCCCACATGTGGGTCTCTGCTGTTCCTGTAGAAGCCATGGTGCTGGAACGCTCTCCCTGTGCCCTCTGGGAACACCTCAGCAGATGCAGCCAGAGCTTGGAGCTGCCTTTTCATGAATCCAAGACATTGGAAGCTCATAATTCACCCTGTCACCAACCAATACACCCTCCTCCTCCTCCTCCATAATTTTGAAGGGATGAGCTCTTGGCTGGCAGGAGAAGTCCTTGTTTGTGAACCTGTGTGCAGGATGAGCATCCCTGAGCTCATCCTGCTTCCTCAGGTCACCCAGAGCTTTCAGCACACCCTGATTTCCCTGTCCTGGGGACAGCTCCTGGCAGCAGGACAGGTGCTGAGGTCACTCTCCTCTCTGGTGCCAAGACCATGGTCAGGAATGCTGGACCATGCCTGGAAAGGTTCCAGGGCTCCCAGAGCTCCAGCAGGAGCTGCCTCCCAGAACAGCTGCCAGAGCTTCTCACTGGTGACATCATTTGCTCCAAGCACCATTTCAGGAGCTCAGAAAGTTGGAAACCCTTCCCAATTGTTTCTGAGATCTCCTCCTTGCAAGGAAAAGTGCCAGATTTTTGGGGATGATCGACTCCATGGAACGCAGGTGGCATCTTTGCCCAGTGTCAGTGTCACAAACACGAAGGATCCAGGAAATGCTTTGTGCCTGGAGCCAGACCTCCCAGTTTTTGAGCATTTTGAGCATTTTGATGCCCAGTTCTCCAGAATCAGTTTCCCTTTACCCAGGACAGGCTCCCTCCCATCACTCAGAGCTGCTGCAGGCTGGAGGCAATGCCAGCTCTGCTGCCTCACTGCTGGCAGGGAACTGCAGCTTCCTGGGAGAGTGCTGAGCTTTCCTGGGGTTAGATGGATTATTTAAAGGCAAGCTTCCCAATGGCAAAACACTCAGGATTTTTCCTGTTGTGTAGGAGGAAGACAAAGAGGCTCAGCACAAGGAGGATGTGGAGCTGCTGGAGTGAGTCCAGAGGAGCCACAGAAATGCTCCAAGGGCTGGTGTCCCTCTGGGACCCTCTGGAATGTTCACCTGGAGAGGAGAAGCTCCAGGCAGAGCTCAGAGCCCCTTCCAGGGCCTGAAGGGGCTCCAGGAGAGCTGGAGAGGGGCTGGGGAAAAGGGATGGAGGGACAGGACACAGGGAATGGCTCCCACTGCCAGAGGGCAGGGATGGGTGGGAGATTGGGAATTGGGAATTCTTGTCTGGGAGGGTGGAGAGGCCCTTGCACAGGGTTCCCAGAGCAGCTGTGGCTGCCCCTGGATCCCTGGAAGTGTCCAAGGCCAGGCTGGACAGAGCTTGGAGACACCTGGGATAGTGGAAGGTGTCCCTGCCCATGGCAGGGGATGGAACTGGACGATCTTTAAGATCCCTTCCAACCCAAATCATTCCACGATTCAGGGATTTCTCTGCTTCCCTCTCTCCCCAAACACTCAGGGCTTGTTTGGCTGATGAGCAATACCAGCAGAGCTGTTCATCCATGGAGCGGGTGTGAAACAACCCCTGGTTCCTGACTGCTCCAACCCTTCCCCAGAAGCTGTGGAGGTGTCCAAGGCTGCTTCTTGCTCTGGCACAGGGAGGCTGGATCCTGAGAAACACTAATGGCAACTGGTTGAAATATTTAATGGTTTTCTCCTCTATCAGACTTTAATTACAATTGCTGTGCATGATGCCTCAGGTTTAGCTTTTCTATATTTCACATTCTGTGCTGCTTTAGTGTGTGGGTCTGGGCTCCATACTATGGGATGCTGAGCTCTCTGCACAGAGCAGGGACACAAAACAATTCCTGCTCCAGCTGGGCACCAAGGACAAATGATCCAAACCTCAGCCCAGGAGCACAAACACCGTGGGCTGGAGAGAGAAAAACAAGCAGGGTGGGACTGCCTGGGCTGAAGCTGGAATGGGACAATGAACTCCAAGGTGCCAATGGAGCAGAACTGATCCCAGGGAGAGCCCCCGGGAGCGCTCGTGCATTTTGGGGCCATTTTGGTTCATTTGGGTGCAGCCCTGGCTGGGCTCTGGTGCTGCCCAAGGTGGATCCATGGAGGAGATCCTTTAATAAATCCCTGATTTATTCTGTAGCTCTGCCCAGTCCCTGCTCTAGCTCAGCCTTCTCAAGGCATCAAGCATACACTTTGATAATTAAATCCAGCACTTAATTGGTCGCACAGAGTAAGGATAAACCCCCAGGTGTCAGTGGAGGTTGTTCCCTGAGGAGTTCCAGCTGTGACCATGGGCATTTGTAGGGGATAATGCTGCTCAAAAACATCTCCTGGAAATCACTTCTGAAAATAAGGTGGCAAAATTGCTCCATCAAGTATGAGCCAGGCTGGCGAGATGCCAGGATCTGGGCATGTCTGACTGGAAAAGAAGTTAAAGCTCAAATGATGCCTCAGAGTGAGATGTACTGAAAAAAATCTGTACATCTCAATGTGCTGCTTACTTTCAAGGGTGACATCATTTATTTTTAAGTTATTATTTTTTCTTACTCTCAGGAGCTGGTGGAAAATTTCTGATTTTTATCAAAACAGAGCAGAATCCATTACTAATACACTGGAAAAGCAGAGCTGCAAGTCTAAATTGTGATTCTCCTTTGACCAGCCTGCCCAGTTACTCATCCCCTCTGGGATTAATGCCCCACTTCTCCAGCTTGTGACTCATTTTGGAGAACAGCAACATTAAATTCATCCCACCAGAAAAATCTGTCCTTCCTCCCACAGCCAGTTTGTCTCACCCCCCTTTCCCTGCTGCCCAAAGACTCAGCTGGAACACTTGGTGGTTCAGATGTGCTGAAAGTGGGACATTCCCTGTGTCTTCAGCATTGAAAAAGAAGTTTTGTCCAAAATTTATTGGCTTCACAAACAACTCAAGGCTTGTTTGACCTGTCCTGGCAGTGCCCAAGGTCAGGTTGGATGGGGTTTGGAGAAGCCTGGGAGAGTGGGAGGTGTCCCTGCCCATGCCAGGGGTGGAATAAAATGACCTTGATGGTCCTTCCAACCCAAACCATTCTGAGATTCTCTGATATTCCCATTTTCAGACAATTTCTGCTTCCTTTGAGTGGAAAGTTGCTCATTCAAAATGATCTCCTAACCTCTGCAGTACGGACATCTCTTAAAATAAAATCTAAATTATAAAGTTTTAAATTCTGAACTCTAAATTACATCTAAATAGAACAATAAAAGTGGATCTGCTGATGAGTCACCCAGGTGTTCCAGAGGCCTTCAGGAGCAGATTTCCCATTAATTAATGGAGTGGAATCTTTTCTTTCCAAGCCTCCTTCCACCCCTCACAGCTTCTGGCTGAGAACTTTGGAGGAGAGCAGCTGAAAACTTTTTTGGATGTATCAAGTGGGAGGCTCAAATCTAATGTATGGCTGAGTCTGGTGCAGATTTCTTCTCACTGCCATGGCAACCAAACTAACTAAAAATAAGAAACATTCCCATAAATGTCAAAACACTCCATGCTTCCGTGACGTATGGAGGATCTGACCTGGAATCTGCAATCATTATGTAAGGGTGTTTAACATTCCTGTAATTACAGGGGGAAATTATCTCCAGGTTAGACGCTTTGCATAACTTTGGGAGTCAATCTGCTTCCCCGTGTTCTTTGGGATTTAGGTTGGGAATGAGCTGGAGGTGCTGGGAGCAGCTGTTTAGCACCTGCTGGGATTCCGTGTGAAGGGAGACTCGTGAAAGCGGTGCCAGTGTCCATCTGCTTGAAAGAACCAGGAAATAAAGCATGAAATCCAAAATCTGGGCTGTTGGAAAAGCTGCCTGTGCAGGGAGGGGGCAGCTCTGGGTGAGCTTGGAGAGCCAGCCTGCAGGGAGGACACCCCAGGAGTGTTTTAGGGGCTCCCTCCCAGGTCCTGCTGGTGCCTCTGTCCGAGGGCTCCATCACCTCTCCCTCAATCAGAGAGCTGAAATCAGGCAGGGGCTTGGAGAGACTTGCATCAGGTGGGACTTGACTCAGCTGGAGACTTGCCCAGGTGTGGGTGTCTCCTGGTGGACTGGGATGAGATGGGTGGGATGATTCCCATGGGATGAGTTTTCCTGTTGCTCCAAGTGGCCTTCAGGAGATGTCCAGGCTCCAGGACACTCCTTCCCCAGAGGCTGGGAATGTCCTGCCGAGGTCAGCAGAAGGTGCCACCATTCCTCATGGTGAGCTGCATGGAATCCTGGAATGCTCTGGATTGGAAGGGACCTTCAAGACCATCCAGTCCCAACCCTCTGCCCTTCCACTGGCCCAGGTTGCTCCAGCCTGGCCTGGGTTTCCTGCTGCTTGTGCCACTGTGATTCCTCTTTCAGGATCTCCAGCATGGGAAGATGTCGGAATTTGGGGTATTGATGATTCTGAGATTGTAAAAGTCTCTGTCTGTCTGCCCCGCTGCCAAAGCAGAAGCCATAATTGGTCTGTGCTGTTTCAAGGTTGTTTATTCTGTTTATCTCTAACATGTTCTGCTGCCCTGCCGCAGCTCTGTCCTGCAGGGCAGCGTGTGGGGCTCTGCCCTCAGTGGGATGGTACAAACATTAAATACCACAAACTACCTGTGCTGGATTTACAATAACGTGCCAATATCTGTCACCTGCGTTGGACAGTGTGTCCCCAGCCTGAACCAACAGAAAAATGCCAACACCACAGTGAAACATGGAAGGCATGAAGAAGGAGGAAAAGGACAAGACACACCCAATTTCCTCCATCTTGTCCCCTTTGGACCCCTAATCTAGAAATCTAAAATTTTACTTTTGCACTCGTGCCACACTTA